TCTAAAATTATTATTTCTATATATATATATATATTTTTTTTTTTATTATTTTTTTTTTTTGAATGCAGTTTCTGTTAAGGTTATAGTGTGACAGAAAAGGGTGGTTTAACAGATGAGTAAAACAAGCCATCTATTTTAATGTCAGTTAGAAAAAGAAGAAGGATTATTTTTCTAACATCGATCCTGCAGCCCTGACTCATCTTCCAAACAGTCACACCTTGGGAAATGTGACCAGAACAAGCCATATAGCATAATAATAGGCATGTTTGGATCGTCAATCAACAATGACCCGAAACATGAGCTGAGTAGAGGGTTAAGCCAGAGGCTCTTGTGTCATAAATAACATGATTAAAATACTACTTTTCGTATTATATTCTGGCTACAACCTATTAGCCTGTTTCTTTCAACTGTGTTTAGAAATGAAAAAGCCAAAACTGTTTGGAAAAACAGGAGACGTTCATTTTCCTTCTGCTTTAAATATTCTCAAGTGCTGCATGACAGCAAATCTTTACCACCATTGTGCTGGGAAAAAACACCAATACCCATGATTCAGCACAGTAAACTGTATACGCAACCTACCATTCCTGCTTTCTGTAATCTGATTGCAGTTTGTTTGGAGAATTACAGCTGTCTTATATTAGGTTATTCATAACTAGCTGTTCATTGGAAAGTTCGTTTTTTTAACTTTTTAATTAAAAACAGCTGTAGTAAACTATATAAAAGTATGGATGGTAAATCTAAAAAAGCATCATAGGCAAAATGCCAAAGCAAAAAATGCCAAGTGAAGTCATTAATGCTGAGCCTTTTATCATTATCAATTAGACTATTAAGTTCACTTATTCTTCATAATTTTGGTAGGTCTTAGATTAAAATTATAACAGCCTAAAAAATATCTGAACTGTAACTCCTGGTTAGCCTTTCTACAGGCTTTGATTAGCATGTCCCACTTTATGAAGGCACAATTAGAGGAACAATGAAGATTTATTGCTTAGAGCTACTGGGAAGAATGCCTATTCTCTCTAAAATTAATTAAGTTATATCCCTTATTTTTGTAGTTTTTCATCTAAATGAAGCACATAACTTCCCAAACATCTCTTTAGGACTGATGTTGAGATGTTTAGCCTGTGCTCGAAGCACTGTGTTCAGTGTGTTCACCCAGTTACCTTATAATATCAGCCATGTTCAGAGGATCTAGGCTAGGCTGATCTAGGCCTGTTTTAAAAATTCAGTCACCTGAGCAGCTTGCAGTCATGTAATCAACCATGAACTCCTTTATAATTTTGTATTCTTGAGAATTTATCAGCTTGGCTGAAAAGCAGAAAAAACTTATATAAACGGTTGGTATAATATAGTATTCTAAAGTATTTTTTGCTAAAGGTTGTGTAACATTTTTTTTCACCCATATTTTTCTGTTGGCTTCACCTTCGTTAAATGAATTATAGCTGTATAAAATATTGTGTTAGATTGAAATAGTTCTGGAAAGGTTATAAAGAGAAGATACAATTCAAGTTTTTTTAAGGCATCTCTCAAACTATGATGTAAACTTTACACTGATTGTTCTTACAAATCTGAGTCCCCTTTTTTTGTGTAATTGCCTCTCAAGAACCTCATTTTGGTTTCTGCGTTTGCTTCATTTAAACTTTAATTCGGAGATCCATGTATTCAGATTTGTTTAAAATGAGTCTTACCAGACATTAAACAGATGTTTCATAATGGCACCTCTTATAAGTCTGGGATAAATCTAAGTTTTTTTAAAAGTCTTTCAATATTTTCAAATAGAGTAGCAGGATATTAGAACTGGTCATTTGAAGAAGGCATTTTTCAGAGGTCTCTGATGTGAGAGGTTAGAGGCCTCCGAGGTTTTAGCGTCACTGTTTATCAGAGCTATAAGCCTTGCCCGCTCTGCTCTTGGCCACAATTAGCAGCACATAAACAAACACACACATGACAGAGCAGGCTCGCCTTTGCGCAACAGGAATTCCAATCAGAGCCAACTTCCACAAAATCACTGAGTTTTCGGCCCTGTTAAGATGCATGTCTTTGATCTTTGAAGAAATTCTGCTGCCTTGTCGGTTTTTCTCTCCTCTAGCTCTGTAGATGTTGGGTAGTTTTACATTTTTTTTTATAGATTAATTCAAGCAACTGTCTCTGAAATGTTTCAGTTGTTTTTCATTGGGTGTTTAGTGTCTGTAGCAGCAACTTAAGCTTTTGGCCATCCATTTATTCAGGCAGATGTTTTTGTTGTTTTTTTATTCCTCCTGCACTGCGTCTTAGAGTAGCTCCTAGCTGGCAAAGACAGATCATTCCTGCAGATTTGTGTCGTTATTTTCCAGAGTCGCCCTCTCTGGCACACTAATTAAAATTATAAGTTGACTTTATAGATAACCTGGCAAAGATTACCCCTGCTGGCATTTTACATGACAGATGAGTGGTAAAAAATAGCTTCTGGTGGTCTGGGCAGCAGAGAGAGACAGAGCAGGCTGAGGTCAGAGGAAGTGCAGACTCTGACTGAATTTTTATGTCACACTCGCTTCCCTTGTACTACAAATACTTAACTGCTAAACGAGATCTGACTTAATTTTATTCCTAACATGTATGAAAAACATACTGTACTGAGCAGTACTGTTCATAAATGACCTAAAATGGGTGTTCCACTAATGATTTTACAATAAAGTCAATAAAAACATTGATAAAAGCTTTGCTAATTTGCTAAATAAAAAATGAAAGAGGAAAAATACACCACCAGTGAGGTAACTTTGTTTTATTCCTACTGATCATGTTTTCAGGTGGAAATGTTTACTGAAGATTTGAATAACGTTAAGATGGAGGTTTGGTATGACTTTTTGATAGCAGGTTTTTAGGTGCAGGTCCAGGACAACATTTGCAAAAAAAAAAAAAAAAACTGTCAATCTCCTCTTTCATGAAGGCTGTGTTGCTTTAAATGTCATGACATCTAAAGACTGATATTTGAGGTTTTTTTTTTTTTGTTGGACTCATGGCATAGAGCAGATATCATGACTCAGAGACATACCTTTGGTAGCCAATGCTTTTGCAACCTTTGAATATAATACATAGGCAATGTTTTGTTGTTGCTTTTTTTTTTTTTTTTTTTAATGACCAGGTAAATTGCTAGTGGAGGTCACGGCCACGCTAAGCTCAGATATCTAAAGTCATTGTTGACTTTAGATATCTGATATTGATTTAGATATATGTGAAAAGTAAGTCTCGAAGTGATGCTTATTGTGTTATTTTTATTCCAAAACATGTCAGAACTGCATTTGGAAACTTAATATGTATCAAAGGTTCTCTTTTTTCATCTTTCTTTTAGCTATCCTTTCAATATTTAAAACTATTAGGCTTTCACGTGGAGAATTAACAGATTGTAGGTTTTTTACCACACCTCAAAGATGTTTTGAATGTAACTTAGAGACTCTTTTAGTATGCTATTCAAAAAATAGCATTTTTAAATAAGCAAACACACTGAGACAGAAATATATATTTTTTTTAAAACCTGCTGGAAATATAACAAAAGTTTCTTGCCAGCTGTGCAGGCAAATCAGAAGAATAAATACCTGGCAGCTGGAAGAGCTTGGTCGATATATTCAAGTAACCTTGGAGTATTATAAAACAATCTTCCCATTATAGAATAATAAAAGTTATTATGGTCCCATATAATAATAGATGTTACAGACTGGGAGTACAGCCTGAGGCCGGTGCACAGAGCTGTGGAGAAATCATTTTAAATCGATCCACAACATTCAAGGTGAAACAATGTTGGGATGTTGATCTATAGTGTGCGGGCGTGTAGATGTGTGTGTGTGTGTGTGGGTATGTACCTGTCTAGCCATCGGAGTGAGGACCATTTTTCCAATTTCACCATCACAATGAGGACAAGTTGTTGTAAAGTGAGGACATTTCGCTGGACCTTACATGCTATTTTGCTAGTGGTTAGGTTTAGGGCAACATTGTCAATTTGGTTAGGGTTAGGATGAGGAATGCATTGGTAATGGTTAGGTTTAGAGTTAGTTTTAGGGTTAGGGCATAGAAAGAGGTGAAAATGACTGAAAATCAATGGAAGTCAATGGGAATAAACACATGGTCCTCACCACATATAGCACTGGTCACTTTGTTGTTGTTTGCAGAGAAGACTGGGAGGGATTGCCCCATGGAAAATGCACAAAAGATGATCTTGTTTGTTTACCGGTTCTCACAATGGTACCAGTTATAGACAGGATCATTATTCAATTGGTCAACCCAAAGGCTCTTTCATAGTTCTTCTTTCCTCTCTTTCTGGCTTGTTTTTTTTTTCTTGTTTTATGTCCTCATCATTTACTGAGACGTGTTAAATCTTTAAGTCATCAGTGAGACACCTTAGCATGTAGGACTGTATGACTGCCTCTAAAATGAGCTGATAAAGCTAAGTGAGCATTAGGAAGGGAGAAAGGAGCAAAATGAATGAGATCTCTTGAAGTATGCATATTAATAAGAGCCTTAATACCATCATGCAGTAATGTGACTCACCGTATGCAAAATGCAAAGGACTATCATTTAAGAACCCCAGAATTACATATTCTCTACAAGAATTTCTGGGGCAGATTTGCACACGTCAACCTAGACTATCATTACTTTAAATATTCAAATTGTTATCTGCACAAAAGGAACTGGTTTTATAGGCATTTCTGTTATTAGTCATGATTATTTTATTAAACTAGTTTTATTTTAATCAGTTGTACATAGCCAGCTGTAATAGGTTGTTTCTTTTAGTGTGCTGTGATTTATTCTACAGTGGTGATAACCAGAAAGTATTATGGGCTGCTTTGAATCGTGGAAGTGCATAAGAAAAATGCACTTGTAGATTTCACATTTCATATTTTTATTATTACATTTTTTGTTGTGTATTTTTACCATCAATATGACTAAACGTTAATATTTTAATATTATGTGCTCCACTTCAAATCCGCATTTAATGTTTTAAATTAGTGCATTGGCTTTGCTAGAAAACTCAGTAGCTTTAAAGTTCTGTACAAATAACAGCATACGTATTTCCCATGAAGTCGAGTAGCTTATATGTAATTCTGCAAACCCTTTAACCAGACTTACAGTAAGGTTCTTAATGTTGATGTTTCCATCCTGCCATGGTACCTACACCATAGCCATTTTTGATTTTAGCACCTTTTTATGATGATTCAAATATGGGAGCATTTTTCATACTTTACAGAGAAATGGAATCTCTTTTCTGTTGGGATTTTATTGTTTATTTTATTATTTGAATTTCTCAGTGTTGTTAAAATTCATCACGCATTTCTATAGATTTGCTAGGAAAACGGTTGTTAGTCAGTTCTCCACTGACTTGCCTATACTCACTGTGAGCTATAGGCAGAGAAGCTAAATCAAACAGCTTTAAAGGGGCAGCTCAACATACAGTATTATGGGCTCTTAAATCAGGGGGAGTGATTTGTAATCTGTTCTTTCGTGTTTCCTATTTGTCCAAGCAATTTTGTTAAAGGCCTAAATCTACGGTGAACTCTCTCTGTTTTCCTGTTTTGTTTTTTGGTTGCCTAGAGAAAATCAGATTGTGCTCCAGCAGGCGAGATTTGAGTGCACTTTGAAAGCATTTCTCAAAATCTGTATAAAGTCCAGCTGAATTATAGCCTCCAAGCTGTGATCCGGTGGCTTCATTATGGCTGAATTTTATATGTCATAGCCCTCTCCTTTTATCTGGAGGTAAATATTTAGCAAGTGAGCGTACAACGGGGGATTATTTTAAGCTGCATCCTTTTGCTTTCTGTTTGTTTGTTTCAGCTGAATTCTATCCAGTTTTTTCGCTCTGTCAGAAGCTGAGCAAATGTAATCTGGTTGAGGGCATGACCACGCTGCCAACTGTTGCAGCCACTGCTGCCAGACTTGCTCCAAGATTACGCCCAAAAGCATTTTATGTAATGCTTGTTGAAATATGCGTTTCAATTTAATATTTCAGCATTGTAAAAAAAACTTTTGCTCATACTTATTCATGATTAGGTATTAATTTTCCTGCAGATAGAGGAGATATTGTTTGCTTTTAAGCAGAAATGCAAGTGTAAAAATATCAACAGCGAAAAGGTATCTTTTCCCACCACACCTCACAGTTATCCGGCAAATATTCCTTTAGATCCTGCCTTGACTTAATGATTATGTGTCTGAAAGAGGAAAGGCAGCAGTTATCAGAAAGGAAGGTCAGTATTGATCCTGCTGTTGTAAAGATTGTTAAATTGATTTATGAACAATTTACACAAGTGCTGCTGTTCCTGCTTTTCATAAGTGTAAGACAAGAGCGTTGTTTTACAAAGGGTGTCGAAACAGTGATTCCTGACAGGGAGCAAATTTACTACAAGAGTAGCAGAGACGGTGCTGCAGTCAAACCATCTTGGTCACAAGTCTAGAAGAATCAGAAATCACACATCTTTGTTCCCCAACGTTGTTTTTGTACCTAAAGAAACAAGGATTTCAGCTCAACAATAATGAACAGAAAACTCAGACGTCCTTCCTGTTGCAGTTGATGCAAACATCCGACTTGAATGTAATAATTTGTTGCTTTATTTATCATTTATACATTCAATTCATAACTAAAAGAATTGGATTATTTTATTCATGCAGGATAAAGGAAAATACAAATAACAGCTAAAACATATTCCCCCATCATTAGCAGGTTTCTGACACAAATTTAGATGCATATTGTATTACTTTTTCTGTTGTTGTTTTTAGGTAGTTTTTTATTTATTTATAGAGTTTGTTTAAAGGTCACAGCTATAAATTTTAATCAAGACAATAAATGGAAAAGAAATAATACAGCCACAAAACCATAAGATTGGTTCAAAGTAAATTTATTTATTATACTGAAATATGTATATATAGAATATAAATTGTTTTTATAATCTGATCCAAAATATATCAGTATTTATTTATGGTTATAATGCCAACAGACATGAAAGGATTCTGCAACAATATAAATACTAGGTTAAAATGGAGCTCAGATGTTCCCAGATCCTAGCAACTTCTTTTTGGTAATTGCTATGACTATGTAATAACTATGACTAAAAGCTATTGATATGCAAAAAAAAACCTTGAAACCTGCTTAGATGCATTCAACTAAATATCAATGGCGTAAAAAGAAATAACTGCCATCATTAAATGGGATTTTTTTTTTTTTTTTTACTTTATTGTGTTGGCCCTTCTTTTTGTGAATTTGTTTTGATTCAGCCAAACTGGATAGTTTGAAAGCGGCAAAAAGGTCCTTTTAAGGTTTTACTTCAAAGGTTTAAACCATCGATAATGGTTTGTCCGCACTATTTTTTTTTTTTTTAATTAAACATTGACCTTAATTGAGACAAGTTAGGCTTGCAGATTCATCATTGTTATGTTTTCTTTTTTTGTTGGTAATGGCTCTCAATGTTACTTGAGTCTTATAATGTTTCCAAATGTCTTTATATTGCAACATTATTTTGCTCCACCAACATGACTGAAAACTTTTATAATCCTTTTAAATTAGACCGAACTCAATGCAATACTTCTGAACCTTTACACATTAGTGCACTTTTGCACATTTATTTATTTTTTTTAACTGGTCTTCCTCTCCTCCTTTACTATTTACATGATGATCATTGCTGCACTTTAAATGGTAATGTTCATTTCAATCTTGTAAGCTGAAAGCAACATAATTTCATTTCGTAAACATTCTGTGTATACAAAATGACAATAAAGCTAAGTCTAAATCAAATATTTCTGGAGATTTAGGTATATAAAACCAGTATCTATTATTTTTTATTTTCATTATTTTTATGCATTTTTTTTTCTGTATACTAATGAGGATTTCATATTTACATCTTACCAAAACTGTATGTGCCTTATTTTTTGTAAAATAAAGCCTTTTATCTGACATTTCTGTCTGTATTTCCTTCCTTTTATTTTTGGTAGACCAAACCAGTTGCATTTGCTGTTCGCACAAATGTCAGCTACAGTCCCAGTCATGACGACGATGTCCCTGTGCCCGGCATGGCGATCTCCTTTGAGGCCAAGGACTTCCTCCATGTCAAAGAGGTGACTAACATTACAAAAGATATTTTTTAATGATCATAAGAATACTCATATCATATATTTTGTTGATGATCATAAGAATGACCAGCATAACTCTATGTTATATTGTTTTGACAGAAATTCAATAACGACTGGTGGATAGGACGTCTGGTGAAAGAAGGCTGTGAAATTGGCTTTATTCCCAGTCCAGTGAAGTTGGAAAACACTCGCATCCTCCAGGAGCAGAGAGCCAAACAGGGCAAGTTTCACTCCAGGTACAAAAAACTGCTCCTCTCTACATGATTTTGATTGTTGGCCACAAAACCCTTTAAAATAAATGGTAAAAATTTAATTTCGTCTTTAGTTCTCGCTAGATGATTAAAATCTGTTGTTTCAGCAAACTAGGAGCGAACTCATCATCTAGTTTAGGTGAAGTGGTTTCAAACTCCAGGAAGTCTACTCCTCCTTCATCTGGTAAGTAGCTTTGTAAGAAAAACATTTCTCTTCTGTTCATTTTTAACCACGATTTATAAAGTGAAATCTAACAACAGGTAAGGGACCATTTTTGACTGATATTCAGTGATATGTGTCATTTTCATTGTTTCATTTAGTAGTATCTGTAGTCAGTGTGACCTGCCAGCTGTGATGACCTCTGTGTGATGTTTTTCATGTCTGTGTGTGTCAATAGCTGTTGACATAGACACCACAGGTTTAGACCCAGAAGAAAATGAGCCCCCGGTCAACCTGCGCTCCCCTAAAACCAGTCCAAACACTGTTATATCACCCCTAGCAAAAGAGAAACGTATGCCCTTCTTTAAGAAGGTAAACTCTAGAGCACCTCACTGCGTCTTCTTCTCTGCCCGCCTGCTATGACTAAAACTCCTGTGGCCACTAGGCCTCTCTCAACGCCTACCCCGGCTTGTTTGTCAGCACCAGTTTCCCTGTCGTCCCACGACGTGCACTCCGCTGTTAGCATGCCTGCCTGATCTTAACCTCTCTCTCTTTCCCTCTTCCGTCCAACCACAGCTAAGCAGAAGCAAAAGTCGGTAAGTTTTGGTGTTCAGAAAAACATGACAGCAGGACCTAAGGAGGAACCTCCTGAACTAATCTGTTTAAACTCTGCATTTCCTAACAAGATATTTCCCCTCTTTACTTCACTCTTGCCCTTCTCATTGTTTGGCTCTGTGTTTTGTACGTGATCCTGTAATCTGGACTTATTGGGACCTCAGTCTGAGATTTTTTTTTTTATTAGTATAAGTGAATGTAAGCCACATCATTTATTATCTCTTTATTAACCTTAATATCCCAACACAACGAGATGTTGGTAAAAATGTGGAACTAATTAATTTGCACTGTGGAAAGTAAAACCATTGCATTGATCAGAACAGTAAAAAACACTGATGATACTTTGGTTGGATCTGCACCAGGGTACATCACAGAAGAAGCCCATTTTAGATAATGGTGACAACCTGTTTCCCATAATAGAATATTTCATGTAGTAGAACCAACAGTACAATATCATTTAGTAGGAGAGAGATTTAAAGCTGGTAAACGGGGCTTCACCATATTAGAAAACCCAGAAATGCCAGAAACTAGAGCATTGGAACCAGAATTCAGACAGACAGACTGAAATAATTTAGAATAGCATTTATTGACTGCTTGACGAATCTGCGACTCAGCAGCTAGAACAACAAAGCTGGAGTCTTTGTAGAGGAGAAAACACAGGTTAGTGACAACGTAACTCTGAGAGAGGACGATAACGAGTGTGTGAGTTACCAATCTGGTTATAAAGTTTAGTCTGAGCCCAGAGGAAGGAGTGGATTCCAGCCAGATGACTCTCCACAGCACATGGCGGACGCCGCTCAGAGAATTCCAGGAGCCAAAGCCAAACGGCTGCTGAATTGGCTGACGAGCAGGAGTCAAAAGATGAGAGGGAGCAGGGGATTCCAGAAGGAGAAGCCAAAGCCGGTGTCGATGAGGCAAACAGAAGTATAGGCCAGAAGATAAGAGATCCAAAGAGGTACCGTAGGGAAATCCAAGCTGGGGTCAGAAGACAAATCCAAGGTCGTAAGCAGGCAGAATCCAAAGGAAATCCAGAGACACGTCAGGCAAACAGGTCAGAACAGGGGCAGGCAATCTCAGAACTCCAAGGGCCGAAATTAGTCAGAATCAGGTTATCAACACAAACAAACTAGAGAACTGTCATCTACAGCTTGAATAATCTGGCACTGATGGCTGGGAGCAAACAGTTTTTAAAAAAGCTGGAACAGGTGGATATGATGAGTGGTAATGAGGAACTGGGCGGAGCTAGGCAGGTGGATAAAATGAACCATTAGTCCAGTCACCAGTGCCAAGATCATGACAAGCTATGATGGTATAAAGTGTGAAATATGGGTAGTTTCTTATTTTTTCTCTTTCCCCTGTGTGCTTCCGGCTCTTTGTGACATAAGGTTTTTGGGAAATGTCAGTCTTAGCAATTTATCATTAGACTGTCCAGCTAGCTAGATATTAACTTAGCCTTTACAATGCAAGCTAATAACTCTAAAAAAAATTAGAGCCAATGAAGACTACACTCCAAACAGTCCTTTGTCATTCTCAGTTTGATGTTAAGCACCTGATTACAACGTATTACAAGGATTTACTTAATCTACCAGAAGTTTTTCACCATAACCACATTGTTTTATGATAGCCTAGTTGTAGCTACCAGAAGTATTCATCAGTTCCCACAACATCCCCAGGGAAGCCTGGTGAGGTGGAAAAAACATTTAGAGGTGGGTTGATGAGTAAGAGAGGATGATGGACCGTGATAAAAAAAGTCACAGGTAATCCACTGAAACCATTATTAGAGCGACAGACAAAGGCCAGAGAATGACAGAGAACATGGCTGCATGGGGAACGAAGAGTCCTTCAGATGAGGTTTTTGCTTTTCAGCTGCCCTCAGAGTTCATGTGAAATCACAAACTAATTTTGCTTTAGGGGATACTTAAGTGGGGTAAAGATACATCTTCATAGGCTAAAGGTGTAAAAGTAAACATACAATTTCAAATGAAAACATTTAGCTTTATAAATGAAATTTTGATTAATTATACGGTTTGGACAGGTATACATTTATTTGTGTGTGTGTGTATGCCTTTTATGCTTTATTCCTTGATCCTTTATCTAAACCAGTTTTTAATGTGGAGCTTGAGAGCAGCCAACTGAGTGGTACAAGTCGGGCCGTCAGCAATGCCAAGATGCAGATGGACATATATAGCATTGATGCCTGTATTCTTTTTTAAATTTAACACACAGAATAGAGGTATTACAGCAGTCAAACTTTGCATCAAATTACCCCCAATTTAATAAGACTAAATCAGAACAAATGTGAATCATATTATTGTTGCAGAGTTTGAAGTAGGGATGATTAATGTTAATTCAGATGCTAAAAAAACTGTAAAATACAAATTTGGTGCACTTTCATATAAGAAGCCTGACTTTAACGCTGAGCTATTTAAAGACTCTGGGTTGATAAAATTTCGTGGATGAAGTGAAACTAAAGGTTATGCTTTTCCTCCTAGTCCACTTTAAAATTCAGGGGCTTTATATAAAACTTAATCATCTCCATTCCACTCAGTATTTTTTGTTTGCTGCTTTAATGGGTGTTAAAAAAAAAAAATAATTGAAACATTTTTTTCACTTTAGGAAAATTGACTCTTACAAAATCACACCAACAACTTTCTTTTTGTAATTGTAAGGAGGCACAATGTTTTTTGTTTTTTTTGTGTGAGAAATATTAATAAGACTATATCAAGGCTAAATTTTTACCTGATATTCTATTAAGAGTTTTATGGAGAACAGAAAACAACAGAAAATATATATAATATATAATATAATTTGATGCTTTGTTAATTTTAAAATCTGTTAAATTATATTGTTGTTTTAGATACCAATGCTCTGTCCCTCTCTTAAAACTAAAAGCGAAAAATCGGGATTTAATAATTATAATCTGCATCATAATCTAGGCAGTTACACGTATTTAAATAGAGTTCAAAGGTCTAATTTTCATGGATTTTTTGTTTTTAGAGAGAGAATTTCTACAGATGTTGAGGGGAAAAACTTTCCTTTAACATTTACAAGATAACTAAATGGTAGACAATAACCAGATGATAGACTGGTTAATAAGAGAGACTTTACTAAATCAAGTGGGTGTCTACCCTGATATCAGTGTGCAGCACATCTAAATGCTTATCTCAAACTCCTCAGACAGAGATCCCAGTTTGTCCCATCTACGGTGAGTTTGTTTTTCTAGCCGTGTCCTCTGTTGATCTTCAGTCTCTGACTAACCTTTCCACCATGATGGCTCTCTCCTTTTTTTCTCTCTGTTTTCAATAACAGGGACCATGACACACTGTGATCAGTCTTAAATTATATTTTTATGTATTCCAAAAAGCAGTTGCATTGTTAAAACCTGAATGAACTGATTCATCTTATTAGATGCCTGCTCATATTTTGTCAGGCTAACTGAGACGTTCTGTGTCATGGTTCTGAAAAGTTCTGGTGTTCTTTTCTTTGTTTTTTTGGTTGTTGTTGTTTTTAGCTTTGCTTAATATTAATTAAACGCTCCATAATTTGTGAGGTTGTACCTCTTTCGATAAAACTGAAAGAAAAATCCTTCCTGTGTTTTTCTAAAGACGGAACACATTCCTCCATACGACGTTGTGCCTTCCATGCGACCCGTAGTTCTAGTTGGACCGTCTCTGAAGGGCTACGAGGTGCAGCAATGCTTTGTCTATGTAATATTTCACATCATTATTGTGGAAAAACTTTCCTCTTCATTCACTCTTTTGAATCTCCTGCCAACAGGTGACAGACATGATGCAAAAAGCACTGTTTGACTTCCTGAAACACAGATTTGAAGGAAGGTGAGTTCCTTCAATTCAGAAAAAGCGCAAGGATCTAATTTCCTCTCTCCATGTCTATAGGCTGGTATTTATCAGTCCCCTGAGGTTAGAGAAGGGAGTGTGTAACAAGTTTGTTTGGCCGAGGGATGTGTGCTGCCGCTTTAAATAGGCTCTCTCCATGTCCTTAATAGGCCATATGAGCCCTGGAGCAGAGCAGGGTTCTTCTTATTCAATGCTGAAGCCATAAAGTTACTTAAGATCAGCTCAAGCTGCCAGCAGCATCAAATAATGCTGCTTATTTGAGTGTAATCTTGCAGTCGATGTCATTTGCCCATTGTTTCTGCTTTGCGGTTTGTTTTTCTTATTTTTTCCTTAAATACAAGAAATTTACATTATTTGGAAATAACCTGAAAATGAAACGAAGATTTTTGAAGACCTTACTGCAGATAATTTACCCTCTGTCCATTGTGTAACACACGCCAATCATTTATTTCATTCATCATGCTCGTACTTTTTCAGAATTTCAATCACCCGTGTCACGGCGGACATCTCACTGGCCAAACGCTCGGTACTGAACAATCCCAGCAAGCACGCCATCATCGAGCGCTCCAACACACGCTCCAACTTGGGTAAGTTTGCCCTAAATCAGCCTGGGAACATCTGGGTTCCTTGATTGATAATGTTTCTAAAGAGAACGGTTGACGCAGAAATAGAAGGAAGCAATTATACAAACTCTCGACAATGGTAAAGATAACCCCAAAAGCTTTCCGTGGCCTTTGCTGGCTACCCTTTGTTGGAGAATGAAAAAGTGAGCATAGAAGTACGATAACAAGCTCTACATCTGCTCTGATATGACTGAGGTTGATTAGAGTTTAGATGTGATTAGAATGAAAGGGATTCCTGAGTGAAATAGAGGCGACGAAAGCTAATCTCAGCTATTTATCGCCAGAAGCATCAGTCAGCAGCTACAGCAGCACTAGGAGCTCCTGCCAAAGTGAATAATGGAAGCAAAAACATGTCATTATATGAAGTATTTTTTAAAGATCTTGACATTTAGAGAGCCACAACAATGTATGATGAAGATGATGATTTGGCTATTTTCCTTTTTTTTTTTTTTTAAGCACCTATAATAGTTCTTCTAACTGAACATGACATAAATTATACTGAATGCAAATGATTGTATTTACTTTATGTTTGATGAGTCCCACATGAGATCTATTTAGCCGTCTCACTAACAGAAATATCCCTCTCGTTATGAAATAATTGAATAAAATGTGATGGTAGTTTAAAAGAAAACCTATGGAAGATTAAACAAATGATTTGTGGAAAAAACATTTTAGTGAAAATGAGAGGGATTACTTTTCTGCTTTGGTTTGTTTTGTCAGAAAAAAAGACTTTTTGAAGGAGCCGTGGTTCCTACAGTTAGGTTTGAAACTTTTTTTTATGTGTGTTCACTTCAGGTTTAGTTATTGCTACACAGTTTAAACTTTAACGTCCCTCTTTATGTGTTTTTGCAAGATGAATCTCGGATGTTTTAATCTCATGTTGGAGGATGTCATTACTGTTCTCAGTCTTTGTTTACTGGGCTGCTTAGAAAAGTCAAAACTGATTTGAATATTCTTTTAGTCGGATATAGCAAGACCAAGGCATAGTATTGTTTTTCTTTTACATTTGATTGTTTCTTATTTGAGTAACAGTTCATACACGTGCACACACAGGCTAAAATAATAATTATAATAATAATAGCAAGAATAGAATAGAATAGAATAGAAAATCCTTTTTTTGTCCCATAATGGGGAAATTCTGGTGTTTACAGCAGCAAAAATATTATAGAAAAAAATGAACACATAAATTTGGACCTTAGCAAAAATGTATAAGAATAACATAACAATATAAAAACTGCACCTGGAGAATAAAATAACCAATATAGGGCTATGAAGATTTTTATAGTAATGAAAATTTGAAAAAGGCAGAAACATCAGAGATGTAGAAAGTTAAAGCAGCATGATATATAACTGACTAAGGTAGAAACTGTGCAAAATTGGCATGAATGTAACAACTTATTGAGGTTTTTGGGAACAGTGGTGATTATACCGTAAAAATTCAAAAAATATCCACTGGACTTGGTTTTCAAGATTTGAAGACGTTTCGCCACCTCTCCAGGAAGCTTTCTCAATTCAAATGTCTGGACCCGCAGTGAGTTTGAGTCTCACTGCGGGTCCAGACATTTGAATTGAGAAAGCTTCCTGGAGAGGTGGCGAAACGTCTTCAAATCTTGAAAACCAAGTCCAGTGGATATTTTTTGAATTTTTACGGAATGACTATGACCTGGATGACTGAGAACCTTCATCAGCAGTGGTGATTATAGAACCCTACAGCTGCTGGGAGGAAGGATCTTTGATAAAGTCTTTCTTATTATTTGAAAAAAAACTTCAGAAAGTGTGGGAATTTTGACATGTTAAAGTGTATAGACCTGAGCTCAGTGTTAAGCAGAAACCCAACCTCCCGAAGTTTTTAACACTCATGTCTTATGTTTTGCATATGGCACTGTCCTTAAACCAAAGCCAACCACACAGCTGGCATGATGCAAAGTTTTTTCCAGTTCTAAAAGGCCTCTCATCCTTTTAGCTGAAGTTCAAAGTGAGATTGAGCGCATATTCGAACTGGCTCGTACGCTGCAGCTGGTGGTTCTGGACGCCGACACAATCAACCATCCTTCTCAGCTGGGGAAGACGTCCCTCGCCCCCATCATTGTCTACGTGAAAATCACCTCCCCCAAGGTGAGACAAAAAGCAGCACAATAATGACATTCCTGCAGGTATCCTTTTGTCTTCCCGGAGCTTGGCTGCTCCCCGGCTATAATCTAAAACGCTTGTCAGACGGGAACGACAATATGTGAGAAAAAATTTATGGGAGCACTGAATCATCTCTCTGACCTTCAGCAAGTGTTAAAAATAAAGTCTCCTGATTTAGAATTGATTGAGAAGAGGCATGTGAATATAGTGAAAAAGCAGACACTACTAAAGATGTGAAAGATGCAGCTCTAAATCTTTGGATGACGTTCACAGCAAGATGTAATGCATTTCTTTGATCTATCCTCTCACTCACTGGAGAAAAGGAATGAAAGTTGTCTTATTTGGCAGATTTAATTAGGTTACAAACAGCAAGCATAAGAGTATTCAAACCAATAACTTATGCATTATCAGTTCAACTCATGTCAATTATCAAAAGGGGAAAATAATCCTACTTTGATGTAGAGCAACTTTGAAATGTAATGAAGCAGAATAGAACATAACACTTTTGCCCAAACAAAGTGTTGGTTTTAGTTAAGTTTTGTCCTCCATCCTCCTTTGCCCTCAGGTGCTGCAGCGCCTCATCAAGTCCAGAGGAAAGTCTCAGGCCAAACACCTGAATGTCCAGATGGTGGCTGCTGACAAGTTGGCGCAGTGTCCTTCTGTGAGTAGAGGGTGATCTTTCCTGGTGGGAATTATTTTCAGTTAAATGCCTTTTGGCTCTAAATTTAATGGGCTTTTTTTCTGCAGTTTTTATTTTTTTATTTTTGCTGAAAGCTTGTAGTTCTCGCCAGTTCTATTTCCACTCCTCATTAATCGGCTTAGTTATTATTTTAGAAAGTGAAGCGAGCATCCTCTGCTTGCGAAAGAGCAGGCCTAATTTAATTCAAATAACTCTGGGTGTCCTCAGGGAATCATCGTTCAAGGTTTGCCTGAGAGTTAGTCGCTGAAGTTGGGATATTTCATTCAGAGGGATGTTTGTTTAACATTAGCTGTGGCATTTTGTATTTATGAAAATCAGGATGAGTTTCTGCAGTCACACGTCTGTTTTTATCTTTAGATTTCTCACGACATGCAAATAGCCAATTTCTCAACATTACAGCTTGATATTTCTTGACCTGGTCAGGTCCTGCGTCTGTTTCATTTCCTTAATCTGGGACTGTCTCACTTCTCCCAGGAGATGTTTGATATCATCCTAGATGAGAACCAGCTGGAAGATGCATGTGAGCACATGGCTGATTACCTCGAAGCCTACTGGAGGAGTACTCATCCCACCAGCTCCAGCCCCCCAGACCCGGTGCTTACAAATCTACCCGCAGCGGCCCTGCCCAGCGCACCAACGCCAGCCTCTGGTGTCCAGGTATGGATGCTGAGGAGTCTACCACAGAAATGACAGTTCAGAAAAATAAAACTTTAAAGTTCAGTCTGAATTCAATTGTTTTAGAAAGGGCTTCTTTTTTTTTCTTTCTTTTTAGATGAATGGTCAGCTCTTAAAAAAAGATTTATATGATATACATGCGTAAAAAATCCCCTACAGTGGCCTTGCAAAAGCAATGAAACACCATCATGTTCTGTCATACTGCAGTTATATTTTCCATTTCATTTACAGGGGTTGTGATGGGATAGATCAGGGCACTGCAACCTTTAAAAATCCAAATTTCCAGCTGGATAAAAGTTGTTAAGAGAAGCAAATATTACATAACCTTTTCATGAAACAAAACTTATTTTTGTTAAATATCTTCTATAGAAAATCTGTTGCCATTTTGAACAACAGTTTATTTGTTACAGATACAGTTTATTTGTATATGTTTTAAAATAAGAGAAAACTGAAATGTTTAATAATAAAAAAGAAGTGTGGATTTTCTTATCTGGAATATTATTGATGGAAAATTATGTTTATCAACAAAACATACTTTCCAAGTTAAAGACAAAAAAAAATGAGATTGAAAAACATGTAAATTATTTTTTTTTATGTTATTCTGTTTTGAAATTGCAGTTAAAATATTTTTTTTAAAACCTGAAGCTTCTAAGACCGGTATTTTATTTTATTCAAGAAATGTTGCTCGGTTCTTATCATTTCAATTACATAAGAAAAGCCATTGTAGAGGCTCCAAAGAGCCACAGATTGCAGCTGTCTGACTACATCACCAACACATGGAGAGAAAGGAAAAGTGATGTCTGATTTTTTTTTTTTTTTTGATGGTAAATTAAAGAGATTTGTAGGCAAAGTTCAGATTTCTTGCTAAGTTAATACTTTTATATCTGAATCAAGTTGTTAACGGTGTTTGTGAATATCAGTTTCTAAATTACCACAGATTCTAAATTAAAGTGCTTTGACCGGCCCATAGTTCTACATACAGCTCTAGCTGTATGTTTATAGATGTCATCCTGCTGCCCCAGTTCAACATCTTTTACAGCCTTTAACAGGTTTATTTTCTAGCTTTGCCTCTTGTTAGATCCTTCCATTTTTCCCATACCTCTTGTTAACTTACCGACCCCTGTAGGTGGCTACTGAGAGGAAGGGACCACCAAGCCAGTTATCCTGAACCCAAGGGGGAGTCTTATGCCCAAAAATGGATAAATAAGGAATGTTAACCAGGCAAGGTTGCTAGATGGCCTAATTCCCACAGTATGATACTGCAACCACCATGTCCAGCTGTAGGGATTGCTTACTCGGGGTGATGTACAGCATTAATTTCCTGTCAACCTTATGAATTTTCATGGAGGACAAAAACATAAGCTAGCTTTGGTCTCATTAAAGTAGGGAATTTTATTTTACAGGTTCCTTTGTCTCCTACCAACTTCTCAGCTTTCATTCAACACTAGTTTTCTCAATTAATGGTCCCTAGAAATGTATAACAATAACGATAAGAGAAATGGCCACACCTAGATCTATGACATTAAATGGTAGAAAAAAGGTTTGTTTTTTGTAAACTAACAAAATGTGGAAAAGGAGTCTGAAAACATTTGCAGACACTGTAAACTCTTTGCTTTATTCATAGTCAATGTGTTGAAAAGTAGGTAGAGTCGCTTGTTCATGCTAAAGTCTTTACTAGTACACTATCTCCACACATTGCCATCTCATTGGGAAATGAAAGACTGAGAATGAGGACAATGCTGATGCTGATGAGGATCAGGAGTGAGGTTATATTTGCTTTTTTGGTAAGTTTGGCTATGCTGTGGGACTGAGTTGAGTGGTGCAGTGCAGTTAAAAACATTTCCTGAATTTGACAAAGTGTGGTGTTATGATCCATGCATGACATTAAAGTATTCTGTGCTGATGTGGATATGGTGAATGATGTCTTGTAAGCTTTTTTGTACGTTTTTATCATCTTTGTCCTTATTATAATGTGTCACTGCTTCCAGGGCAATGGTACAGAGCCGAAAGGGGAGAAGGCATTGGTGGAGAGGAAGGGGTCCAGAGAGGAGAACCAGCAGCATCATTATCACAAACACCACCACCACAACCATCACCAGAGCCAGGAGCAGGCAGACGTAGAGGCTGAGGGGGACAGCAATGAGGAGGAGCGCCCTTTAAGGACAGAGTCTGGTAAAAGAGCCCCACACATCCACCACAGGTCGTCCTCCACTAGGACTGAGCACCACAACAACCATCACCACCACCACCACCATCACCACCACAGCGGCAGAGCCAGGGGCCTCTCTCGGCAGGAGACTTTGGACTCTGAGACCCCCGAGAGTCGAGAGAGTCGCGAAAGCAAGGAATCTGCTCGCATTGAGTCGAGAGCTCCACAACGCCACGAGGACGACGAAGAGGAGGAGGACGACGAAGACGAGGAATTAGGGGAGGGGCATCCCCAGCAGCAGCGTCGACATGAGCCTTTGCCCCATCGGGACCACAACCACCATCACCACCACCACCATCATCGCAGCGGGGCGGACGAGGCCGGCCAGGGGCATCATCGTTCGAAAGAGCGTGAGCAGGACCACAACGAGCGCAACAAGCAGCGCTCTCACCACCACCGCCGCCAGGCCCGTGAACACCACCACCATCACTATGAGCGGGACAGGGAGAGAGACAGAGAGGGGGAAGTGGCTCCCAAAAGGAGAGGCGAGACAGGCGAGGCGTGGGCCAAAGACTCTCACATCCATCATTGACAGACCAAAGGCCTGCTGAAGCCCCTCTGGACTCCTCATTCCCCCATCATGCTGCTAAACTCTGAAGCATCCTGTTTCTCTTCCCATCTTTGTAAATGCTCTCACGTCTTTTACAGGATTTTGACTACATAGATGTGAACATAAATCATATATATATATATATATATATATATATATATATATATA